CCTAATTGTCCGTCATCAACTCTGATGAGCCTTTTGACCAGTATTGGACACGGACGTTTGAAGACAGTCCTGGGAATCCTCATGTTCCAGTTCCAGTTCCACACTCCCCTGAACTGTTTCTTCTCCTGTAATTCCAGTGTGTGGGAACTCCATATTACATGTCGCCAGAACTGTGCCAGGGAGCAAAGTACAACTTCAAGTCTGACATCTGGGCCATGGGATGTGTTGTTTTCGAGGTCCTAACACTCACGAGAACATTTGATGCAACGGTCAGTCGGGCGAAGCAATATTCCCATGATTCCTCCGTAATTAACAATCTGAATTTTTCCATCAAACTGGAATAACCTTCTGTCCTCGCAGAACCCTCTCAATCTCTGCGTGAAAATCGTCCAGGGGAACTGGACCATGGAGGTGAACTCTGATGTTTATTCTACGGCGTTGATCAAGCTGGTGTACGAGTGCCTGGACCAGGTGAGTGAGAAACGCAATCGGACACAATTGTGTTGTTGCTTAGTATGAAATCTAAAAACTGACACAAGCGGAAAAACAAGATGTTGTGATGTCATCAGAGTTTGATTTGTGTTGACCCACAGGATCCTGCGAAGAGGCCCACAGCTGAGCAGGTCCTGAACCAGCCCTTCATCTCCTGCTGCAGACAGTAGGTTTTTAAGTCTGTAAATTTGGGGCTGATAATCTATACGACTCAGAGCAGATTGAATACATTCTTTTATATTAAGTCATGACGTATAAACATTAGTGAGGAATTAGGAGTTGTTTTTTTTTGATTGATTTTATTATATATATTTTTTACTTTATTTGCTTTATTTCTTCCTTATTTTTTTATTATGTTTTATTTGTTTTTTAATTTAATTAATTTAATTAATTAATTATTTAATTTTATGTAAGTTTCTATTCTTATTTTATTTTATTTTATATCAGTCCTGAGCTGAGTGGTTCTACAGAGAAGGAATTCTCTGATGGAAACACAGATTGCAGAAATGTTAAGATTTACATGGAGAATATGTTGAGAAATGAGCCTTGTTGTTTTCATAAATTAATTAATAGCTTTTTGATGTACTTGTGGAGTCCTGTACCCCAGCCTCACACCATGACTGCTGGGTTTGGCTAGAGCTGCCTCTGCGACCATTAAAATAATTCATATAGTGAACGATGAATTATTGCACAGTCAGAACACACATGTTGTCCTTCTGTCCCAGGGAACTGGAGGAGCGTGTTGCTCTGCTGAATTCCGCCATGAAGAAACCCAAGTGAGTTTAAAACTCAGCGTCGTTCACAGTCGTCTGCTCTGAAATATCACCGCTGTTTTCTTGGAGTTTTGTCTTGAGTTTTTTTTTTTTTGTTTTTTTTGTTCTGGTCATGCTACAGACTGAGTACAGCGACGGAGACCCCTGTTGCCGTGGTGACCACACGGTCCAGGGATGTGTACTTCTGGGGTGGAGGCAAATTCACCCCCCAGAAACTGGACACGTTTAAAGGAGGCACCAGCGCCCAACATGTGTGTGCGGGAGAATGTCACTTTGCAGTGGTGACGGTGGAAAAGGAGCTGTACACGTGGGCTGTGAGTAACTGATCACCAGTGATTTAGTAGCACGCCACTCCACGTGCTTCACGCTGCATACGCCTCCTCATCCCTGTCTGCAGAATGTCCAGAGTGGAGCCAAGATGGTGGGCCAGCTGGGACACGGTGACCAGGCGTCGTACCGGCAGCCAAAGAGAGTGGAGAAGCTTCAGGGGAAGGCCATTCGACAGGTGGCGTGTGGGTCTGACTTCACTGCCTGTGTCACCGGTGAGTGTCCTGTGACAACAGGGTAACAAAGGTCACAAAGGTCACATGGTTTTCCTGACTATCTCTGCTGGTTCAACAGACGAAGACCAGATGTACATGTTTGGGTCTGACTATTACGGCTGCATCGGCGTAGAAGACGCGCTGGGAAGTGAGGTTTTGGAGCCAGTTCTTCTGGAGTTTTTCGATGAGCGCCCTGTCCGTCAGGTGTCATGCGGCGACAACCACGTGGTGGTGCTGACCCACAGCGGAGAGATCTTCTCGTGGGGCTGTGGAGAGTATGGTACATAGGGTTGCTGTATGTACTGCTGTCATGAGCTGATGTCATTTAGACAATGTCAGGTTGCTTTTGCTGTTGTAATTGTCACCAGCAGATGGCGACATTGGTCCTTACTAAGTGGTTCTTGTCAAAACCGCTCTGTTTTCCTGCTGTAGGGCGTCTGGGACTGGAGTGTGAAGATGACTTCTCTTCTCCCATGCAGGTGAGTCAAAGCTTTCATACAGCTTCTGATGCCTTAAAACACTGAGGTCAAACCTGTGACTCTGGGCCAGATTGGACCTACCAGTAGGTCATGTGGCCTTGAAGATGGTTTTTTGAGATATTCAAAAATTCAGGTTCAAATATTTATTTCAAATGAACACAAACAGAGCAGGTTGGATGTCAAATGGGATATTTTCTAGTGTTGAGATTGTAGTTCAAAATCTAACCAAAATAAAAAAAAAAGTGAAATAATTGTAAACTTTTATTTACAAACATACAAATCAGAATTTCAAGGACTTTTCAAGGATTATGATTTCAATTCAAAATGTTGTATTGTTTGAAAAATGTAAATTCAAAATAATTACTCAAATTGTGTCAGAGATTAAATACACAATTTTCTGTCTTTCCCTCAAAATCCACAACTGATTTGGCTGTTTTTAATGAAAAAAGAAATTATAATTCTTTCATATCTGAAAGCGTTTTAATTCAAACATGAGAGCGAAGGGCATTTTTGCATAATTAAAAGAAAATGTCTCAAATGATCTTTTCAGAGTAAAATCTCTTTTAAAGTCAGAATTCTGACTAGTGTCTTAAAATATAATATTTTTATGTGTACTATCGTATTAAACACAACTGATGAATCAGCACTGACTCTTTCATTCCTTCACTTTGTCTCATTCGTTACGTCGTCCTGTTGGACTGTAACTCTGCCTTAGAGCATACAGTTAGATTCAATTGGAAGAAGAAAAAAAATAATTTATTTTTTAAATGGGATTTTTCTCCCAGGTGGAGGTTCCTAAAGGTGCCATCATCTCTTCCGTGTCGTGTGGCAGCGATGGAACCTTCTATTTGACAGAAACTGGCAAAGTCTTAGCCTGTGGAAACAACGAGTACAACAAACTGGGACTGAACCAGGGATTCTCGGGTCTGAAAAACCACCCTGGCGAGGTACTGCGACCGGACCGGACCTCATGTTGTCTATATTGTTTTTGTTTACATGCTAATGTTTTTTACATTACTACACCAGGGTTACCAGGGTATCCCGTACATCACCACACTGACCTTGGTGAAGCAGCTGTCACGATTCACCATCCAGGCCATCGCTCCGGGGAAGACCCACACGGCTGCAGTGGACGGTAGTGGGATACGACCAACATCACTGCTGCTCACTGATGATGCCTTCAGAAATAAAAATTATTTCTGACTTTACAGAACGTGGGCGTCTTCTCACCTTCGGTTGCAACAAGTACGGGCAGCTGGGTGTGAAGGACTTCAAGAAGCATCAAGGGGTCCAGGTTCTAGTCGGACCGTTCGGAGGAAAGAGTCTAACAAAAGTGTCCTGTGGAGATGGTTTTACCATCGCGGCCACAGAAGGTAAGAGGTTTAAAAAAAAAAAGGTAGTAAGGCTAGTTCCATAAGTTTTTTTAAAAAAAGGTAGTAAGGCTAGTTCCATAGTGTAGCAGTTAGCCTGATTGTACTAGAGAACAGGGAGTCCTGGGTTCGATTCCCAGGGGAAGCACATACTTGGCGTCTGCGAGGGGCAACATTTTGCAGCAGATTTGCTGTTAACACAAGAATTTCCCAAGTGTGGGATCAATAAAGTTCAATTATTGTTATAATTGTTTTTTATAATAATCATATATTATTATAAAAATTCACACTTTGAGTCTTTGTAACCCACACAGGCTGCCACACGAGGCGCCACTAAGCATGTGGTTTCTGTAGGGCTTGAACCCAGGACTCTCAGGGTGTAGGGCAGGCGTGATAACCTTTACACTATAGAACCATCACCACTGTTATCTATGTTTTTCTTTTTACAGACAACCAGATCTTTGCCTGGGGAAATGCAGGAAACGGGCGACTGGGGATGCCCCCTGACAAGAGGTTTGGTTCGGAGGTGTGTCCTGCCATGCCGAGGCCCATCTTTGGTTCCCTCCATCATGTACCAGACCTTTCCTGCCGGGGTTGGCACACGGTTATCATAATGGGTTAGTGATCAGATACTGACCCCTGGCCTGTATATACTGACTCTAACAGCAAATTTGTATGAATTAATTTTTTTTTCTTCTTTTTGTAGAAAAGGTCTTAAACTCCAAGACTATTCGCTCCAACAGCAGTGGACTGTCAATCGGTAGTTGTGGGGTTTTCTTGTCTGTTGGACTGTTTATCATGACACTTTAAAGCCATCTCTCTGTGTAACGGAATTATCCTGTGTGAACTAAGGTCTGGGTCAGGAGGCGTCCACATCCACAGTAGATCTGGACTTGGAGCCAGGATCAGAGACAGAGTGTCGTGACCGAGGCCTGGGGGGGACACGGGAGGCTAATACAGAGTCCTGCTTATTGGAGACCCCGATGATGTCCATGACAAATCAGACTGGAGACAGTTCCTGCCCTCTGTGGCTCAGAAAGGTTTAACATCATTAAACATTCAATTAAAAATCAAATCAGTGATTTAAATGTGTTCCGCTTGAGATTTAAACTTTGCTAAATCCTCGTCCAACAGGAGCTTGAGGACGCAGAGTTCATCCCAATGCCGGACACCGAGCCGTCCACACCTGACCAGCTCACGTCCATCTCAGAGAGCGTCACTTTACCTTACGAGGAGCTGAAGGAGCTAAAGGCTGCCGCTGCGGCTGTCGGCACCGAGAAAGGCCTCTCGGTATGCGATGAACTCTTTACTGTTCTCGACAAACTCCATATGTGTTCTGCTGTGTCAACTCTTGATTCTTTGCAGACCAAACGAATGGACAGCAGTAACATCAATGGACTGCAGGGGGCTCACGTGTGCAGAAAAGGAGAATCCAGCGTGTGCTGCAGTGCCAGCAGTGAGGTCACACAGGTGATCGAGTCTTCACAGCGTGTAGATAACACCGTTAATTCATTAAGGATTTTAACTCAACGTTGTCTTTTGCAGCTAAGGGAGACGGTCGCTCGCCAGGAGATGAGGATCCAGATGCTGGAGAAGCAGGTGAGACTACTATATTGTTGATCACATGACACGTGAGTATTTGTCAGTTTAGCAATCATGAAAAATTACAACTAAATGTGAACAAAACGGGTATTAAGTGCACAGTGAGTCCCGACTCATTCAGTCTGACCAAATTATACTCGCTGCTCTTTAACTGCTACAAGATCAAATCCCAAATTAACTAACTAATACAGGAGTCAATGTGGGATTGAGTGTGAAAATGGGAATAATGGTATTAGCGTGTGACGAGTGGATGTTGTGTTCTAGTGAAAATGTCCTGGAAAGTCAGGGGAGAATAGGAACTTGTATGTCGTATCCCGTTTTCACACTCAATCCTGAATCGAATCCTGTATTAGTTAATACGGTATCTGACCCTGTAGTGGTTAAACTGAAGCAAATACACTTTTGTTCACACTGACTTTTAGCTTGGGATTTTACCTGTTTTCTTTACATTAAGAACGGGGTCCAGTGCGTGTTAATTTTTGACACACATACAATCTCATGTCATCAGCATAGCAAAGTAGTTTTTATGACTTTGTACCAAAATTAGACAATTCAAGATCAATTCAAGATCAAAACCACTGGACGTCATGAATTAAGGTTGAAGAGTTCTGTTAGGAAACTGGACGTGGAATTTTTTTCAAGACATGGATCAGGTAATTTGCATTAGGGGAGGAGTGAGTCTACATTACTTTGCAATTTTAACTCAAACATGGAGCAAATACGTGTGAAAACAGCGAGTTTTGTTGATGATAAAAATGAAAAAGTTCCTTATGACGTTGCCATTGACCAAATTCTCGATAAGTAGTTTTAGATCGATTAACGTGACCCTACGTCAGTTCTGCTACAGCGTTGATCCATGTACCGTAGAAAAACACAACAACCGCTGCGTCTTCCTGCCTGTAGGTCAGCGACCAGCAGCAGGAGAACGAGAGACTTTGGGCAGCGATTAACAATTCACTCCTGAGGGGAACGGGACAAGACAACAACGGGAACCATCAGTCTGACCGCGTGTCAGGGGATGTCGCTGGAAGAGTGAGCGGGGTCTCGAGCCATGGGAGCAGATCTGCGGGGGCCAGTGTGTGAGCCCAGGTCGCCTCAGAGTAGGGGAGCAAGTTTCAAGACTCAGCAGTCGGAGGGGCGTCGTCACGGTTACGTTACAGTCCACGTTTTAGCAAGTTGCTGGAGGCACACCATTACATTTTACCGTGTTTACCGTTTTAACACAACGCACACTGGCTGTTCTGAATGTGTTCACCTGGGCGATGAGGTCACTGTCTTCCACTGTCAAATGTTGGCTGGATTCAACATGAAACATCAGACCCTGAGACCCAGGGATCAGAGTGTTACTCTTCAGTGTGAATGCTCAGACCTGGGGCCCCGCTCCTCAGATGAGCCTCGCATTTGGTATTTTCAATGTCATAGGCCAAACCAGCTCATGGAGGTAGATACCTGCCAATAATCATCAATTTCTGTTCATCTTGGGAAACAGTCTTGACACAGACATGCGATGTCAAACAATATTTTTTAAATGTAGAATAGGATTCATGTGCAAGAAAAGATTAAATTACATTTTTTTCACAGATTTCTGAGAAAATTCCATCACAAAAAGTCAGGAACTATTATGTTTTCAAGTCTTTTCTAATTCAGAAGAATTATTTGTAATTCTAAGAAATAAGTGCTTGAATTCTAACTTTGATCCAAAAATGTTGTCTTTAGCCTTATATGTTGTTTTACGTTATTTTAAATGCCAGGAAGCCAAAAAAGGTGAATTTTGTTTACTTAGAATTATGAGAAATAAAAGTCAGTTCTCCTAACTTAACCTAAAAGTTTCAAACACAAAGAAATTAAATCGTAAATATACAAAGTTTGCATTTGCATGTTTGGTCTGACATCACGTTTGTGTGAAACAAAAACAAAAAAACAACTACTGATTTCATGTGTTTTTCTGATTGGGCACTTCTTTGTGTTCGTCTTTGTGAACTTGAACAGTTTTCTGCCGAGGTTTCTTCTTCATTTTGCAGATGACGCTGCGTCTGCGGTTTGTTTTTATTGCTTTTTGTATTCATTTAATTTGTCTTTGGTATTTACTGAACGGTTTTTGGAAGAAAAATGTTCTTTTTCTTTTCTTTTCTTTTTTTTTTTTTTGCTCCATCGCTTTATCATATTGGTTTGTTACAACAATGAAATGTGGCAATAACATTAAAAGCTGTTAAAGTGTGGGAACAACAACAGAGCAACACTGGCACGTTGTTGTTGTTTTTTCACACACGGTTCAAAATACAGTCCAAACTTCTGAAACCAAAGATGATGGTAAATATGACAATCATGTTTTTATGCACAGTGCATTTTAAAGAACCCACAGTAAACGCTAGTTCCTGCAGTTTACCAAATATGGTCATGTAACGTTTGTATAAACAACTGTTCTCTCACTGATGCTGATGAAGTGTCGTGTAAAAGCTACAAATAAAACTGAAAAGCTGTCTTGTAACGTGTCTGACGGTCTGTTTGTCCCACAGCGGAACCCGTAGTTCAGCTATTCTAATCAACAAGCGAAAAATCAACAGTGTTAGAGATTATTATAATATAACAAGTACCACAGTACTAGACAAGTTCTAGACCAGCATCGACATTAACATGTCGGGCCCAGAGCTTATTGTTCCACCGTTATCAGCTCACTTGGACCTTTTCTGTTGTGAGGCTCCACCTGGTGGTCGACTGGGCGGTGCAGCATTTGTGACGGTCTTTTTGATTTGTCTGCGACCCTTTTTCTGTAAAACCTGGAGGAGACATTAAAATACACTCGGTGTGAAAGATGGTGAGTATTTCCACTCAAATGAAAATAAATGACGTGTTAATAATGCGACTTGACGAGTGTAAAACAGATAACATTAAAACCTACAAAAGAGTGCAACCGTTTTTGTTAAATCTTTGTTTAAAGCCCAACATTTATAGGAATAGGTTACATGGAATGTTGTTCTAGAAAAACTGCTTGTATGTAAGGCTCAATTTAGACCCCCCTTTTTTGGAAATGTAATAGCTATTTCTGGGCTACTTTTGGTTAGCGTATAGCTTACTTTTAGTTGTTGTAAGTTACTGTTGCTAAAAGCTGTGTTTGTGCAAACATTTTGATAGCATTTAAATGTTTTATTGCTAGTTGGTTTGTCTTATTGTTGTAGTTATTTAATTGTTTTTTTAGCTAACTGTAGACTATTATTTAGGGTTTTTGCCCTAACCTCTTGGTTAAATGTTAAGGCTTTTTCATTTAGCAGAATTTCACCTAGTCCTTGTCTTTTTGTATTTCCCTTTTTCTACATTTTCCCTCCATTTTTGAGCAGCTTTAGACTAAGGATTAAACTTTTATTGGCGTTTTTCTGTTCAAACTTTCCTGCTAAGCTGGTTCACATTTTTCACCTTTTTTTAAACTAACCTTTTGACATTTTTGTATAATTGGCTGATGATTGGCTGATACTTCTCGTATCCTACCTCTGGAGTCTTGCATCTACTGTGGGTTTTCAGGAATTCCTCTAAAGCCGATCCTCTGGTCCGGTTAAGGTAGGAGTTGAAGACCTGCCTCTGTGACTGTTTCGCCTTTTTACAGATCTGCAGATGCTTCTCCAGCCTTTCACCTACAAACTTCCTGTTGCAGATTTTGCAGGGTATGCGCTCGATGTTTACATCTGCATCTTGCAGGAACTCCAACTCCTCTTCATGAGATGGAACAAAGTCTTGTGGTACAGTGGATTCCCATGATGCCTCATGATCAGCCATTTCCTTGGTAACCTGATCATCATACATTCTCTCCTTCTCTCTTCCTGACAAACCTACCCCACCTGTGGTTTGTCCTTTTTGTTTTGCTGTTCCACCTCTGGACGTCAAACCTTCTTCTTTCCTGTCGCCATCATCTCTGTTGTGTCTTGACTCCTCTGTGACTTTCTCCCATCTTGATTTGTCAGCGTCTCTACTGACCTTTTGCTCATAACTTTCATTATTTCTATTCTCTTTGGACTGTAAGCCCTTCACGGCTTCTGGTTTCCTTTGTCTTTGTAGAGTTTTGATGGTCTCCACTTGTTTTCTTTCCTGATGGATATCGGCTGATCTGCTCTGTCGGATTTGTGCCTCCTTTGTTTCACCACTTTGTCTCCTCTCTCCTCTCTTGCCCTCGTCGTTTTTGCCAGCGGCTTCAGCGAGTTTCTGTTTGACTTTCTCTTCCACCTGCCACAGCTTCTCCTGGAGCCTGAGCTGTTTTTCATGAATTGCTTTCGTCAGCTGGATTTCTTTTTTTGTTCCATGCTGAGACCCTGCAGTATCTCTGATGCCATTTGGACAATGTTTCTGTCCTACGTCATGGTCTCTTGGTTGTTGTGTAATTTTTTCAGAAGTGTAGAGATCGGTTGACTGATGTGTCCCTGAGTTAAAAAGTCTTCTGTGGCTCACAGGTTTATTTGGAAATGGACAGTCGTCTCCAGGAGCTTTTCTTCCAGGTGCCTCACTCTGAGCTTTTGATTGAGTACCAGCCTTTCGTTCTCCTTTGATGTCTCTCTGTCTTTGAGGGCTAAGTCTTCGTCCTGTGACTGTACTCATTGTGTAAGAATGTGTTTTTTGGCCACCGGATGTCTATACTGAAAGAAATGTTACATTCAGATGTGTTTATTATCCGTGTGTTTTGTTTTTGTTTTTGTAATGAAATAATTCACTATGACTGAGAGAATCAAGTATGTATGTCATTCTAAATATATCAACATATAAAGTGTGAACTTCACAATTAATTGTCGTTGGAATTTACAAACAAGCGTTAGGTATTAAAATAAATATACATATACATTTTTAATACTAGTTTTCATTAATTTTGTTTCAGTGTAAAACTCCCTAAATCAATAGCTTACCTCGTTAGCCTTCACAACGAATATTTTATCAAATCCCAAACTCAAAAAATGAAGCAAAAAACGAAACAGAAAAGCTTCTGTAGTCGTTACTTTTTCTGCGTTGACTGTAATAGTTTACATTCGTTTCCCTAGTAACCGATTTTCTTAGCTGTTGCCTGATTGGTCTGTTATGTTTCACTTCCTGTGTCGGGACCCGGAAGTAGGCTATAGGTGTATTGGAGGGTTGACAATTTCTCTGCAACATTTAGGTGGTAATGTTTTGAATAATTCGCTATTTTTATTTATAATAGTTTCGACATGAAGCTACACTTGCGCCTAGTTGTCTGTGTTTTGTGTATCGTGTATGTGAATTGTCAAATTAGCAGTTTAATGGGGTTAGCAGTAGCTTGAATCTCATGAGACAGACTAAAAAAATGTCTTGTGTCTCTTTGCAGGGCCACAATGTCCGACGACGACCTGGTTTCTGTGGATTATGAGGTTTTCGGCAGAGTTCAGGGTGTGTTTTTTCGTAAATACACGCAGGTACGTTGAATTTGTTAGCCTTTTTGCTCACTCAGGTCTGGTTGATGGTTTTAACAAAATGTGTTTTATGTCTGTAACAAATTACTGGTCCTTGGTAATTATATGATTGTGATTTTTTTACATAACGTTTTACTCTAAATATGTTAAAATATGCAGGCAGAGGGAAGAAAACTTGGCCTTGTTGGTTGGGTCCAAAACACCCGGTCAGGAACCGTCCAGGGCCAGCTGCAGGGGCCACGCTGCAAAGTGAAAGAAATGCAGGAGTGGTTGAAATCCACTGGCAGCCCCAAGTCACACATAACCAAGGCAGAATTCAAGAACGAGAAGACCGTAGGAAGTCTAGAACACTCCTCGTTTGATATCGTGAAATAAATATGTCCATAAATTATGCTGTAGTATTACTGTTAGAGCACATGTCCTATTTATTTAGAATATTTTTTTCAGTTTTAGAAAATCTCCTAGAATGGGAGTATGTGTGTATGTGTATTTAGAATGTTCAGGACTAAACATATAGAGCTTCTAGATTCCAGTGTAAAAAGTTCTTTGTGCATGCACAAAAAAGGAACTGAATAACACCACAAATGTAAAATTTAAAAACAGAAATAAGAAGTTAAATAAAACAGTACACAGATAAATAATGAATAATGAAGGTCAAATGGTTTGAATAACGTGTACAAAAGCAATGTGTATTCACTGTATAGTGAACGCTATGTGAACTAAAGTACTGTGTACTAATAAATATAAAACATGTTACACATTTTGTGTTCAAAGTATTTAATTTTATTTTCATGTGTTTGAATGACAATTCTTAACGAATCAACGATTAGAGAAAAACTGTTCATGGGTTTTATTGTGTTAATGCACGATGAACTTTAGCGCCCACTAATGGAGCGTAACTGACATGACATGAAATATAACCTTATAATATTCAGTTTAGAAGTGAACAAATTATAGATGTCATGTACAATGTCTGGAACAAAACGTATAACGTAAAGGATAAAGATCGTTTATTCTTGCTAGCGACAAACTGCGGGATAATCAGGTACATATGATTGTTACAACGTTATAACGTATTTCCTGTATTGTTAAATTAAATTAAATACACCTGTGACAACGTCAGATAAATCATGTACAACATAATCTGTACTGGTGACGTCAGATGCATTATATGTAAGTTTATATGACTGTTCAAATTTAAAAGAGATATATTCAAAATAGTGTGGGATACATAAAAAACTGGTGAGAATATATTAGCAAACGAGACGCAGCAAAAAATCAGAAGCCCGAAAAAACGAGGTTAGAAACGTTTTTATACTGTCGAAGACCATTTGCCATGAAAGGTAAAATATGAGTTTGACAGAGGAAGGGGTTAAATAACTGTAGTTAAATGTTCATAGTGTTGTTATCGTTAACATACCAAAGGTATTTACTTTTTTCTGCCAAACTTAGAGTGCAACCCAACATGGCTACCTCCGTAGAGAGGACACGGTACTTTTGTTGCAACCTCCGTAGAGAGGACACGGTACTTTTGTACTGTACACTCACAAACCCAGCAATAAAATTATATTTACACGTCTTTACAAAATAATTTAAAAATAAAATAATGTATTATTCATAAATACGTTTATTTTCAACACCGTACTGACCGTTGAGGAAGAAACGCAGAATTAATACTCGTTTTTGACTGACTATACCAAAGCTAACGGTAAACGTTAGGCCTCCAAACCAGAGGGTGTCGCTATTTGCGTAGTATGATAGCTAGAGGGTTGATCTCTTATTATTTCACGTTGATTGTAAACAGAAATACTTGGAAGCGCTAGGTTTTTGCCATGCGAATATATGATCCGAGTATTGTTTAAAATAAATATTTAACTCTGTGTTTTATTTTTTAAAAACCGTACTTATTTTTAACATGCTAAAAAGTTCTAACTCCGTATATTTACGCTGACATCACTAGAACAGACACCGGGCTGGAACAGAAACAGGAGATGGATGTTGTTATTATAAGGACAAAATCATGATTAAGCGTTTGCCCAAAGAGGTAGAGGGTAAACTCCGCTCCGGGGTGGCTGTTCCCTCCCTGCAACAGTGTGTGGAGGAGCTGGTTCTCAACAGCATCGATGCCGGGGCGACCTGTGTGGGAGTCAGAGTGGACATGGACTCCCTCAAACTTCAAGTCCTTGACAACGGCAACGGGATGAGTGCTGAAGACATGGGATTTGTGGGAACCAGATACTACACCAGCAAATGCAGCTGTGTGGAAGACCTGGAGAACCTCCGCTGGTACGGTTTCAGAGGCGAAGCCCTGGCCAGTATCTTATCTCTGGCCTCGCTGGTGGAAATCTCATCCCGGACCAAATCAACGGTGAAAACACACGTGAAAATGTTCAAAAACGGCCAAGGCATGGATGTGTTTGAGGCAGAGACTACAAGACCCTCAGCGGGAACAACTGTTATCGTTTGCAACCTTTTCTACAGCATGCCGGTGAGGAGGAGGCGGGTGGACGCTGTCCTGGAGAGTGAAAGGATCAGACACCGACTGGAGGCTATTTCTCTAATACACCCGTCTGTGTCGTTCACCCTGAGGAACGACAGCACGGGAGTCATGATGGTGCAGCTCAGTAAAGCCAACAACACTCACCACAGGTTCGCTCAAATACACGGCAGCGACAGAGTGAAGAAACTGGGGGAAATCAGCCACACGCACGCGCCGTTCGAAGTGAGCGGTTACATCTGCAGAGAGGGACACTACAACAACAGCCTGCAGTACCTGTATGTGAACGGTCGACTGCTGCTGAAGACACAGTTGCACAAGTTGTTGAATTTTCTACTGCGCAGACTGAGCAGCTCCCAGCACAAAGGTGGCAGCCCTGATGGGCATCCCGGTCTGAGGAGTCCGAAGTCCAAGAGAAGCCAAGAGCTGCACGGCGTGTACGTCATCAACATCAAATGCCCGTACTCCGACTATGACATTTGCCTGGAACCTGCGAAGACTCTCATAGAGTTCAAAGACTGGGATGGCGTTTTGCTCTGTGTAGAAGAAGCTGTGAAAACTTTCCTCACCAGAGGGTGTTTGTTGGACGTTTCTGAAGAGGACACGGGCGGGACATTCAAAGAGGAGGACAACAGCGGCAGAGATGAACTGCCAACCACTTCCTCTGCCGCAGCAGACTACAGCATCGGAGTGACACTTGCATCTGAGTCTGTTCATCGTGCGCAAAGTGATGTGCGTGTTCTAGAGGACGGTGTCTGCCCGGAGTCTGATATGACAGTATGTGAAGAGGACGAGAGTTTAAAGTCACAGAGTGAGGGGTGTGTGGGCGAGGACGGTGACAATGAGCCCCAGGCTGATCTGGTTCAACCGGAACCATCATCATCTGAGGAAAGAACATTCAGTGAAGAAGAAAACAAAACACAAATGTGTTTTCAAAATACTACCTCAACCAGCTACAATGTTTTATCAGGTGACACCAGCAGAGAAAACCAGTTCAATAATAGCATTGGTTTAAAAACTAGTCGTCAGCAGACGGACAATCACAGAGACTCTATCACCAAAAACAGAAAGATCCATTTGTCCGATCCGTTCATACACCAAAGTCTGAAAACTCCCTGTCTGGCCCAGATGAATAAATCAGTATTTCTACAACCAAGTGTAGCAACGACCGAAGACAAGAGCTCCGATGCAGTAAAGAACAGAATTTCACTCATTTCACTCCATAACAAATGTTCCCAAAGATGGCAGAACTCTTTAGCTCCTGTCGTTCCTCCAAAGATTCCCAGAATGGAGTCTTCCCGAAGTGTATCATTATGGAAGGAGTCTGGATCCCTAGACAAGTTTAGGAGAATATTTGGTAAATCAAGTAAGAAGAAACTGAGTTTACAAAACCTGACTGGATCTGCTGAAACAGAAGGACTCACTTCACGTCCTTCCAATTGGCCGGTGTCTCAACGACATCAGCAGGATGTTGATGATGCACCGACACAGAAAAGTGAGTCACAGATAAATCTCCGTAGCCTGCGATCACTCAGCTCCCACACTGAGTCAATTACTGATGAAAATAAAACCAACAAATCCCTGGCTGCTAAAATCTGCCATTTGAAAAAACACAAGCCGATGGGTTCCACCGTGTCGCAGAAGGTTTCTGACACTTTGTCACAAGGAAATACTTTTCTCAGAGTCAGCGATCATGACACCCAGGACAGTAACAACAACGACAGTTCCAGTGACTCTGCAGTGATCTGTGAGCCGGCCTCGGGTTGTGACACGAGCCGTCAGTTAGCTGAGGAAACAGGAGAGGAAACATCGGACGACTGGCTTCATCACTTTGATGCCTCTGTGGGAAAGACGGTGTACGTCAACAGAGTGACTGGACTCAGCAAATATGAAGGTCCATCGACCGAAGAGACACAAGTGGCCTGTACGTCTGATGTCACCAACATGGCCGTTAGCGTGGTCTCTGAAACAGGTACAGTGCATGTCGTACTTCCTTCACTATTTACTTTAACTTTACATTTTTCCCAATATTTCAGCTGCAGTTATATGCATTAGTAGGAGGACATTTCTTTTTGACCAGACAGCTAGTTCCTTGTTCCATGAAATGGAGAAAATTAAAATAAAATGTGAAATGTTGTTTTGTTTTTGTCCACAAACCAAAGGTGTTGAGTGCTTTGTCATAATCAAATCAGAACAGAAGATCAACATTGAACACCCTGGTCAACTTAACATTAACCTAATCCTACACACACACACACACACACACAAAGAACTAGAAAACAAAACAACAAGCAGTGATCAACTGGTGGCTCATGGGGCTGGATTCAGCCCGCTAAACAGTCCATTCCAGCCCATGACTGGACTCCAAAAATAAACATCAAATAATCATGTTAGAAAAAAAATGTATTCATTTTATTTGAGGTATGGGTTCCAAGGTGTCTGTCCGACAGGTTGGTGACCCCTGCTGTACACATACAGTATATACCAAATAAGGAGCAGCAAAGACAAAGGGAGCAAACGTGTGGCCAGATAATTTAGTTCTATTTTTTTTAGGTCACTCACTGAGTGGACTATCAAATAGATTGGTCAACAACTAAATAAAGTCATTGATTAATTTATCAATCGTTGCAGCTTTAACTATTGTCATGTGGACTCACTGTAGGCTGCGATGCTCATGTTGACCTCTATGTACACATAGGGATGGAATACAGATGTTACCCGTTTCAGATGGACCTAGTTTTGCCCTTCCTGCCTAAGTCCAGGACAGAGCGAGTGATTAGTTCAGGGCACGATGGCAAAGGTACCCAACCGACAGTTAGGGTTCAACACACACACACACACACACACACACACGTTAACTTCATAAACACCGGTGTGTTTGTGTTTTATCTCCTCATTTTTGTCGTCACAGACGTCGACGGAGAACTCTCCACTTCACTCTCCTCGTTATACTCCAAGTGGAATAACCCAGTCTTTGTACGACCACCCGTGGTAAATGCTGCCTAACTATCACATTACTGACCCCCTTCTGAGTGTGACTGATAGTCACAGCACTTGTTTACTCCTTTCTGTCAGGTAGGTGTGAACATATCAAGTGGACAAGCAGACGGACTGGCTGTGAAGATCCATAATATCCTGTTTCCATATCGCTTCTCCAAAGCCATGATTCAGTCGATGAAGGTTCAGTTCTCTGTGTGGGTTTACTGTACTACTGTACAAATGTTCCTTTAACTGCTTCAGGCTAACCCTCTGGATCGTTAACACACAGGTCATATGTCAAGTGGATAAGAAGTTTCTGGCCTGTCTGATAAACACGAACGACGAGGAGCCTGCAGCTCAGAGTCAAACTGAAGGTAAAAATATTTATTTGTTTTTGTCATCTTCTCATGATGTATTTCAGCTATAACTATATATGTTTTTCCTGAAGGAAATCTTCTGGTGCTTGTGGATCAACACGCCGCCCACGAGAGAGTTCGACTGGAAAATTTAATTGCAGGTTAAAAAACAAACAAACAACGAAACCAATGTGTCAACAACCGAATAGAAATTCATGTCATTTTTATGCTTGCTCTCAGATTCCTACGTCGTTGACACTGATGCGTCAGAAGACAAACATCTGCGTTCAGCAAATATTTCGCCGCCTCTGGAGATAAGTGTGACGGAGGAGGAGCTGCGGCTGCTGAGGTAGGTCTATCTACGTGTAATCAGCCGGAAGGGGGAAAAATCTTGGAGAAGATCCTAATCTGCTAAATCTGGCCCGCTACCTCTTTTTATATGGCCCATCAGATCTTAACCTGTATGTAGAGTTTTAAAAAAAACTCTACTCTATAAAGTCCATAATAATTAGGTCTGATATTAACTTTTTGCCGATATTGTCCAAACACTTAATTTCCGATTGCGATATCAACCGATACACACAGATATAGGCCTGGTAATATTTATTAATTTATCTGTACAAAGCACTGTATAAGTATGAGATTAATTAAATAAGCTGCAATGCTGCCATCTAGTGACTTTCACTGTAATATACAGCAGTTTATCCACATATCATTTGGCGAAACCCAAGGGATTGTTATCGGTTTTCATTATATAATAATGCTAATATCGTGGCGATATCAGTCGGCCGATATTAACGGACATCCCTAATAATATATATAATAAAATATGTTTTATTCCTTTACACCTTCTTTACAGTCTTTTATTCAGCATGTATTTATTTTGGATACACCCTATAGATCAGCTCCAAGCAAATATTTTTAGTTTATGTATTTGTCATATTATCAATGTGATGGATGTACTCGTCGTATTTGTTGACAGTTGATGGTCACTGTCATATATCGTTAATCCAGTGATTTGTGATGAATCTTCCTGCAGGTCTTGCCAGACGCATTTTCCGAGTCTGGGTCTGGAGGTGACGTTCTCCCAGGCCACAGATCCACAGATCTTTGTGGGGAAGGTGCCGCTGTGCTTCATGGAGCGGGAGAGTAATGAGGTGAAGCGTGGGAGACCATCTGTCATCAAACCTATAGTTGAGGTACATCCGGTGAAAAACTCATTATCCAGATCATTCACTTATTCACTCGTTTGGAAAAGTAACGGCTCAGGGGTTTCTAACGGTTTATCTCCGTCTCACACCAGGAGTATCTGCGAGAGCAGACGGAGGTAACTGTGGATGTTTTGGATTTGTTTTGTATCTTCAATGTCACTGCAGTTTAGAGTCTTGCTTTTTGTATCTCCAATGTCACTGCAGTTTAGAGTCTTGCTTTGAGATGAAGGATAAATAAAACGTTCCATTCTGATGTTTTTCCAGATACTGCGATCAGCTGGTAGAGTGAGGGCAACGTTGCCTCTCACTGTGCTCAAAGTTCTTGCGTCTCTCGCCTGTCATGGTAAAGCTGCACCACTCCTCAACTCCACTTGATGCTATTTGTTCCCTGCAGGAGTCAGTGTCTACATCATCTTTATACATTTTCCTGTAAAACTTCTCCAGGTGCCGTCAAATTCAACCACAGCCTGAACAGAGACGAGTGCCACAGTTTGGTCACGGCCTTATCTTCCTGCCGGCTGCCCTTCCAGTGCGCTCATGGCCGTCCTTCCATTATTCCACTCGTGGACTTTAACCATTTAGACAAAGACCAGAAGGTACCTCAATGTCCTAAAAGTCGATTCAACTCTGAGGAAACGGTCGTTACTGTCAACAATCTGGACATCGCTGTCGTTGATTTTTGTCTCTGCAGGAACCTCAGAAGCCAAACCTCCAGAAGCTGAGACGATTGCACAAATCCTGGGAATTATGTGGAAATAAATGAATGGCTTTTTTTTAAAATTGTACTTTTTTAATTGTACTGGTCTGTTTTAAATGAAATGTAGCATAAAAATCAAATGTGAAATTTAAAAGCTATTTATTAAAAATTCAACTGCCAAAAAAATATGTTAAACATGTGATGATTTTTTTTCAGCGCTTTTCTGAATAATACGTTAAGTAAAGATCAACAAAATGACTCAGAAAAGACTTTAGAAAAACAGAAAAATATTGCGATAAAGACAAATAAAGAGAACGGACAAGAATGTTCCTGTAACCTCAAAAATCACATCATAACCAAAATATGATGAATAAATAAAATAATTTAGGAAGCCCAAAATAACCACCGCTGAGGAGTTAATTGGTTTTGAAATCGCTCATTATGCAGCTATTAAATTATAAATAAGTCGTTGCCCTCGTTTCCTATTCCTGGAAGCTGTGGTGCGTTCACTTACGGTCAGACAGGTGGGTTTTTACAGCACATGTCTGTTTTTATCTGAAAACAACAATGTTTAGGTGTTGTTCAAACGGTTGGTGAAGGGGGGGGGGGGGGGGTTACTTCCCTCGGTTCCGGGTCCATGTCACGCGACCCCCTTTCCTTTATGGCCATTAATTCACTCACCCCCAGCGTTTTTTTTTTTGTTTTTTTTTGGCCAACGAGTAAACAGAATTCAACGCATTTCATTATGTCTGCCAACAGCAGCAGCAGCAGCAGCAGCAACAGCAGCAGCAGCAGGAGCCGGAGGTGATTCCGGGGGGGGTGAAAGGGCGGCTCGATTAAACGCGTTCCGAATTATTTTTTTTCCTAAATAAAAATAGAAACAAACTTGACATAAAAAAAAAATCAAATGTGCCATTTGACACACAAATTTATGTCTCTCATACCTCTCCCGTCCCCTCCTCCTCTCTCCTCCTCCTCCCCCGGCTCCCCCCTCCTCCTCCCATGAATGGTACAGTCTTTGTTCATTCATAAAAATTCTCGCAGAGCACAAAAGGAGGGGCGTGCATTCTAGTCGAGCAGTTGCCAGGTACATACCTGGAGGAAAGACCCGCGGAGGGCCGGAGGTTGTCATTCATCGGGACATCTATTGTTCGGTGCTCTGTTTGCTTGTGTCTTTGTGTTTTATTCCTTTATCCTCCATCCTTTTTTTCTTTTCTTTTTTCCTGAAAACCTGATGATGTTCCACATCAACCTGACGCCTGACATGGACTCAGTCTCTGCCACACGCCGGACTGAGTCTCCTGTCGGGACACTGTGTCAGAGGAAGACGCCAGAGGAGGAGGCGAGCTCTCCATCCTCCACCATCTCCTCCTCCTCCTCCTCACCATCATCATCACCAGACAGCAATGCAAAGGTATGAATGGTTTCTTCATCTTATAATAAAAAAACAATAACACAGTATTTAGTCTGTTTTTTTAAAAAAAACAAAAACAAAACAAAACACCACAGTGAAGCTACTCCATCTTCACGGTTGTCAACAACGGTGGTCCACAAACCCACTGCCTTGATGCTGTTTTAATAGCTCCTCGGTCCTGATGTTGGGGGGAGGGGCCGCAGCTGAACGATAAGGTTTTCATGAATGGACCGAGATTTTTTTTTATTTTTAAAGCCATTACAATGTCAACACTTTTTATTTTTTTTATTTTTATGTGATTATTAAAACCAGAACAAATCCTCCGTGATGACGGTGTGACTGTGGCTTTGCACCGCCGCTACACTTGTTATGGTTCCCGACATGCTGGGAGCAAATGTGAGCAGCGTGTCGATGCAGCGGTTCATTGAGAAAAATAAATCCATTCAGGAGACTCCACAGCAACCCTGCGTCAGTGCTGACGTCAGACACAATGATAAAGTGAAATAGCCTATTGATCTGGAGGAAGCTATTTCTGGTCTGGAATATCTCAACAAAATAAAACACGCACTGATTAATTGGCTTCCCCTCATCATAAATTAAAACAAACAAAAAAATAAAAATAAAAATACACACTTTAAACTATGAATTAAACAGACAGTATGTTTTGTACTAACTGAGGCTGGATTTTATTTTTGCAGGAGCTTTGCCAGAATGTGAGCATCCAAGACGCTCCATTTGTGCCCACAGTCACCGCAATTTCCTCCACACCAGATTTCCAGTGGATGGTCCAGCCCACGATCATTACATCCGTCTCACCATCCCTGGGAAGCAAACAAGCCAATGAGCTGCAAGGCACTCATAAGAAAACACCCAAAACCGGAGGGAATAAGGGGAAAAATGCTGCAAGGAAGAACAAAGCTGAGCAGGTTAGTCTGAATCGACCGGACACAGCGCTCGCCTGTTGTTTGTTTCACATGTGCATATCTGTGGTGTAAAAATTCCTGGTGAACAGCTGTGCTGTTGTGCATGCTCCTCTAGTGCCCCTCACTGGTCGTGTGCTTCCTCAGGCAGTCCATTTATATTCATGTCACAGCTAGTCTGCAACAATAGTCTATTTTTAGACGCATTGCAGCGAAACATGCTTTTGCCACCTTCCACTGAGGATGAACCGGGGACAGATGTTACGGATTAGCCTGGTGGAAGTGGTGGGATCCATCCGAAATAATGAATGAATTTTCCCTGCTGTGTCCCAGCTCTCTCCGGAGGAGGAGGAGAAAAAGAGGGTGAGGAGGGAGAGGAATAAAATGGCTGCAGCGAAGTGTCGCAACAGACGGAGGGAGCTGACAGATACACTGCAAGCTGTAAGTAAACATTGATGCATTTACTCCGCCAGTCATTTGCAGCCCGCTCTGATGTGTTTCCCTGGTGGATGATTTGTGGATGTTGCTCTATTTCTAGGAGACAGACAAGCTGGAGGAGGAAAAATCAGCCCTGGAGACAGAAATAGCCAACCTCCTCAAAGAGAAGGAGCGCCTGGAATTCATCCTCACAACACATAAGCCGACGTGCCAGATGTCAGACGATTTGGAGGCAATCTTCCAGGAGTCCTCTTCAGCGTCCCTGGAGCTACCGTCCAGCCCAGGTGAAGTCAAACTTCCCGAGGATGGCACCCAGGAAGCTCCTTCACTCCAAGACATGGACATTCCCAGTGATCCGTCCACAGCCATCTCCGGGAACTCCAACATCCTGCTGTGTGCCAGCGCTGAGATCAACATCTGCGATTTGGAGCCCTCCCTGGACATGAAGGAGGGGCTGCTGGACAGCATGTTACCCAGTTTAGAGGAGAAGATGCCCATGGAGACGGCACGCTCTGTGCCAGACATAGATCTCAGCAGCTCTCTGGGGGTCTCCGACTGGGAGACCCTGTACAAATCGGTCTCCAGCGACCTGGAGCCTCTCAGCACTCCCGTGGTGACGTCCACCCCCACCTGCAGCAGCTACCTGTCTGTCTTTACGTTTGCCTGTCCCGAGCTGGACTCTGTCTCTGATGGACTGGACGGCCATAAAGGTGGAGGTGGCAAAGCTGAATCTGTGGATATCCTCAACTCTCCAACTCTCCTGGCCTTATAATCCTCCCCCCGGCAGAGGCGGTTCTCCTCTCTGGTCTCAGTGGCTCGTCTGTTTGCAGGTTCCTGACGTGATCTCAGCGTATGCCACAGTATGCTGTAACAGTCAATCAGAGGAAGTCTGGTGTATGACTAAGCTAAGCATATGAACTCTCTCCAGATGGCCCAGCAAAACACAGAGGTGTAGCTGAAAGCATGGCTCATATAATCTGGAAGGACCGAAGTAAGTTTGGTTGTTGTTGTTTTTTTTTCTTTCTTTTTTTTCTTTTTTTAAAAAAAGCATGCAGAAGAATTAAAAAAAAAAAAAAAGCTCATATACCTTGTATCTGATCTGTTCCTCGATCTGAAATGTAATGTGGAACTCGATGTCACGGTATGGTTCTGTGCTTTTGGTGTCAATGGTGTATTGATTGCTGTAAATGTTGTATTTACACACAGTATCCATCCATGTTGAGTACCTGCATACCTCAGTATGTCAATAGTTGTGGTTCCACCTCATTGTTAAAATGTTGACAGTTTTCCATGAAAACATCCAGTGCTATATACATATATATACATAAATATATATATATAAATATATATACAGTGTATCCAAAATGTAAGTTATGATTTATTTTTTTACCTTTCAGATATTGACTTGATTTGTTAAAGTTTATGAATATATGTACAATGAGCATTGACTGCTTATCTATGCTGCTGAAAACTTAACAATAAATATATGGTCATATTTGCAGAGTTGTTGGTGTCTATTATCTATCTATCTATCTATCTATCTGTCTGTCTATCTATCTATCTATCTAGCTATCTATCTATCTATCTATCTATCTGTCTGTCTGTCTATCTATCTATCTATCTAGCTATCTATCTATCTATATATCTGTCTGTCTATCTATCTATCTATCTAGCTATCTGGCAGCTTGCTAGCAGCTGGCGAGTTAACTAGCTAGTTGTTTAGCTTTTTTGCTGCACTAAGGGTAAGGTTTGGATATTTTGTCTGGTTAGAAGTTCTCATCTTTGATGCTAAATGTTTATAATCACAATTATTTGCTATTTTATTATTGTTTGGCTAAATTTGATCTATCTATCTAGCTAACTAACTAGCGTGCTGTTTAGCTTGGGTATTATTTATTATTATAATTTATTATTTAGTTTGGGCAATTTTTGGGAAAAAAAAGAAGAGAAAGAAAATAATTATTTCTCTTTTTTTTCTGGCTTTTCCATATTCAACTAGCACAGACACAGATCAACATGACCACTTTGTGGTCAGTGTCTTTTCTGGGGTGCAAACCATATATTCTGATTACAATCCAAAGTTTTTAAACTTAAAAATCAAAACTTAAATCTACTTATAGCACCACCTTTAGGCGTGGGAGGGTTCGTGTGATAAATGGCACGCTAACAAGAGTTGCTTTATTATTATTATTATTATTATTACCGCTATAAAAATTATGAGTTGTAGTAGTAACAACAACAACAACGGTATCAATACCGGTAATCATTACCATCATTAATCATCATGGTTAATTATTAACCTATTTAATATCATGATTTTAATATTTTTACCCTCCACTTGGCTCCACTCCACTAGTCAGTTTAATTGTGTGCGCTGTTGTGCAGTACTGTACTGTGCAGTACTGTACTGTGCAGTACTGTACTGTGCAGTACTGTACTGTGCAGCAGGCCTCCTCCGGAGCTCTGAGCCTCCTGCCGTAGCTCTTTCTGCTGCCTCAGTCTTTCTGGATGGAGACTGGAGGAGGAGGAGCGCTGCGACTTCTGCTCCCACCATGTACTTTTTCACATCCCTGCTTACGTTTTGGCTGCCACTGCCTCATTTCCGCATTCCCAAGTCCTCCCAGATTGGGATCACGTTTAAAGTCGGGCTGATGCAACGGTTCCCACTTTTTAGAATCTACTCTCGACCCTCGGCTGACCAGAAGAGAGGACATTTGCTGCACCTGGGATCCAAGTCAGGTCTGTGTTCAAGACAACTGTTAAAGTTCACAGAAAGAGAGAAATGTTTTTTGTTTTTTTCTTCTTCTTCTTTTACACGCTGGGTACTTTATTGGCGCGCCACTCACTGGACACTGAGCAGGGCTCGTGAACAAGAAAGTGAGAAGCTGAGGTTTTCCTTTTCGGGGACATATTTTTGTGACTTTGACGTATTTTTGGTGTCTGTATTGAATCTGACATCCTGGTGACCATAAGGCAGAAATAGCTCGTTTCTTTTGGTTTGTATGCTGCTTTGAAATGGGACCCACGTTTACGTAATTTGGAACAAAATGTTCAAATTTTGCGCAATGTTTTGCGCTTCTTTTTGCACCGCATTTAAAAAAAGAATAGAAAATGCTGCTGTTTTAGCCGCTAAGTTGTCCGGTGGTTTCAAATTTTAACTCTGCAGCTCTCACATGGAAGGAGCGGAGAAAAAAAAAACTTCCGCTTCCAGGCAGCAGGACACAAGTCACCGCTTTGTTTTCATTTGATTTAAATTGATGAATGACGTTTTCTTCAGCTAAAAATAACATAATATCCAGCACAGAATATTTAAACAAACAACGGCTAACGTGTTTATATATCATGCTAACTTTGAGCTTAACCCGGTGTTGTTTTCATTTTTTATGCCTGGTTAGCATCAAGCTACTCCTGATATAATCCAATGTTTACTCTTAACTGACACATCCAGTGGTACCCAAAATAGGGGGCGGGCACCATCTGGGTGCATCGCATGAGAGGGGAAGAATAATAATAATAAAAAACAATTTTAAGTTTAGAGTTCGGTGTTTTAAATGAAGTTTAGATTTGAAGCAATAGCTTTGAGTATGTTGTTTTTGGAGGGACTAGAAAATAAAAGATTTACAGAAGGGGGCGGTGCAGGAAATCACTGGGCCAATTGGAGAATGTCTTTTTAACCAATTAGTTATTTTTAGCTACCTGTTAGTTATTAAAACTTCATTTTGTGTTGTCTTGAGCTTTTAGCTTTTATTTAGCTAAGCTAACAGCAAATGCATTAACCTGTGTTGTTGTTAACAATACGTTAAAAAGGCTCATGGGTTAAAATTCAAACTTTGTTAGCTGTGTAGGAAAACTTGTAGATTAAAACCCTTTTAAGCTTTGGAAAACTACAGTATTTGTAAAACAAACAAACAAACAAAAAACGTGATTTATTTTTGACAGTCCTGAGTCTGGTCTCCGTTGAAAGAAGGTTGGACACCTCTATTATCTGTGAGGCTGACATGTTTCTTATTGTTCAGCCTAACCTATTCCACATGGTACTGACTCTATTATAAAATCATATTCAGAGGTACCTGCCAAGTATGAGTACACAGACGAGGAATTTGACTCTGCTTTCTGTTGCTCTGGACTTTTCACATGTAAAAGTACAAATGATTCAGACAAGACAATAAAGTCATTCATTTAGCATAAGTTAAACAGTGACGGTGAGAAATTGTAAAGCAATGGATGAAGTGAAATACATCACATATACACATGTAAAGTACCCACATGTGCTGAATCTTACCTGGTTAATTAATACATTATCTGTAGTATTTACCAAACTACTTAATTAACTGTGATCCACAGCTAGCCAGATTTTATAACAACCATATCAAACAATTTTACATTCATTTTAATCGACAACCAATATTTTGACAATGCAGTTTTGAGAATAAAGGCTCCCTGTGTACCACTAGAGGGAGCCCAGGTGCCATCAGTGGTACACCTACCATAGTTTAAGAAACATAGATTTATAATAAAATAAAATAGCAGCTATTTCTTGATGTATGTTGTGTCTAAACTTAACGTTTAAAGTAAATATAGCTGCATTATTGAGCTCATGACAGAACTTAATAATTTCTAGAGTAGACAAACCAAACAATTCACAATCACTCTGCTGTACCTCCATTGACCACCAGGGTGAACATGATGGGATGAGTTACCTTATTTAATAGAACATCCTGGATGTCACATTTCTTTGATGCTGTTTTTAATTTCTCATGATAAATACTAGTACTTATGTGTGTAAAAAGTACTTGTCAACAAATACTGATACTAGGAGTTTTGTTCGGGGCTACAGTAGTACTGAAGGTTGCTGTAGGGATTTCCACCTGTCAGACACATGTACTGTTAGTTGTTTTGCTCTCACTTATTCTCTACTAGAGGGGTGCCCAATCCCTGGTCCACGGACCGGTACTAGTCCATGGCTCATTTGTAACTTGGTCGCAGAGCAAGAATAAATCATTTACTTTTTATTTCATTTATTTCCATTTACTTCATTTAAAGATAATCTGGAAATGTTTCTAGATAATACACTTTTCAATCTTTAACACCAACAGAATAAAGTCAAAAAGGTGTTTTATTTTGAAAATGACTGACCGGTTAATGATTCTACTAGATAGAATGAAAACATTACTGAACCAGAAACTAAATATAAAAACTGCCAATACTGAAAACAACTAACTGACTTTTTTAAACAGGATATTTTTAAGGGCAAAAACAAAGTAGTTTTGGTCTAATTTTAACCCCGTGCCTCCATCTGTAGCGCTTTGTTTTTACATTTTAAAACTACAGTTTAAACAAGTGCTGATGTTACAGGGACCGAGCAACGCTTTTATTCTTTGTGGTGGGTTCAACAGTTAGTCGGTTTTGTGTTCTGTTTGTTGAACGGTTCCTGTTTATCCCCGCAGTATGAGTTAAAGGTGAGTAATCGCCCCGGTGTAGTCATTTATAGCTTCATCATGTGCCTTGGAAATGTGCTGAGCTGTTGTAGTCATTTCCTGTCTCTTTGGCTGCCTTTGCTGAATCCCCTCCCAAACCCCCCCGCCCCCCCACTCATATATCACTAAAATGCTCATATTGGCTTTTTTCAGAGGAAGATGTTTCCCAGTGTTTGTGCGTAACAATTAAAATGATTTAATGTTGTGAGGGCTACAGTTCCTTTCTCCTGTGTTTCCTGGTGCAGAGTTCTTGGCAGCGGTTGGTTGGTCCGGGGTCTGACTGTGCTCTTTGTGCACATCTCTCCATTGGCTTTTGGGAATTCAATAAGGCAAATTCTTGTCAGCATTTCCTCTGCAGGAAAAAAAAAAGTAAAATATAGAAGTGAGAAATGGCCTAATGAGGGCAGCCTCAGCACCCAGCTCCTTGAACACAGCAGCAATTCATCACAAGTGAAGCGAAAACGAGGAGCAGTGCACCTTGAGTGAATGCCATCTCAAACAAATGGCAGGTCGAACAGAGGACTTCTGGGTCCATTTTTCTCCAACACATCACTGGAAAATGGATTTTTTATTTTTCTTGACGTTGTGTTTTGAAGCACATCTGACTGCGTTTTACTCTAAGGTGTAGCCGGCTACTTTTCATGTGTGCTCATTTAATCTGCTTCAGCAGCTGTCTGACGCTCTCTGCCGTTTTACCCCCCTTGTCTGTGTAGCTGTGGTCACGACTGAGTCTGACACGATGCCAGGACAAATCCCAGATCCCTCTGTGACTGCAGGCTCCCTGCCAAGCCTGGGCCCTCTGGCTGGGATCTCGGCCACCACGCTGACTGACAAGCTAAAATTCAGTGACCTCCAGGAGTATGGGACGATGCTCTCACCTCTGCACTTTTTGAACAGTCTGGGTAAACGACCCTTGGCCATCAAAACAGAGGTACAACACACTTACAGTGTAACTGATGGCTGTCTTTGGATGTAAAACAACACCTTATATTTTAATTATTTATTCGTCATTTATTTTTTTATCACTTTTTCCTGCTTAAGCGAGATGAAGAAGAAGAGAGGAGGAAACGGCGGCGGGAGAAAAACAAAGTGGCTGCAGCTCGATGTCGAAACAAAAAGAAAGAGAGGACAGACTATTTACAGAAGGTGAGACAATTGAAACTACTTAACATTGAAATATGAACGGTTCCATGCTAAATGTTGCTTTAAGAGTTGGCGCACATTACATAATCACACACAGTCTTACATTTACATATTAAGCAGACTCTTAATTGGATGATCAACAAGCAAGTATGTAGTTCCTCTGGGAATCGAACTAATGACTTCCGAGGCAGGCGTGCTGACTGCTGCACTATGGAACCAAACGATGTCTAGCTTCATATGTAATATTGTAAATAAATATACCCTTGTGGGAGCCTGAATATATGTGTATATATGAATGTACACTGCCTGGCCAAAAAAAAAGTCGCCACCTGGATTTAACGAAGCAAATAGGTAGGAGCCTCCTATTGGATAATTACTGCATGGGCAATTATCTTTCAGCTGGCAACAAGTTATTTAACCCCAACTGGTGCAATGAGTTGCTTCTCATTTCCTAAACAACCATGTCGAAAGACACATCCCGTGGTCATGGAAAAGATGTTAGTCTGTTTGAGAAGGGTCAAATCATTGGCATGCATCAAGCAGAGAAAACATCTAACGAGATTGCAGAAACTACTAAAATTGGGTTAAGAACTGTCCAGCGCATTATTAAAAACTGGAAGGATAGTGGGGACCCATCGTCTTCGAGGAAGAAATGTGGCCAGAAAAAAATCCTGAATGATCATGATCGGCGATCACTTAAACGTGTGGTGAGATCAAATCGAAGAAAAACAGTAGAACTCAGGGCTATGTTTAATAGTGAAAGTAAGAGCATTTCCACACACACAATGCGAAGGGAACTCAAGGGATTGGGACTGAACAGCTGTGTAGCCTTAAGAAAACCACTAATCAGTGAGGCTAACTGGCAAAAAAGGCTTCAATTTGCTAGGGAGCATAAAGATTGGACTCTGGAGCAATGGAAGAAGGTCATGTGGTCTGATGAGTCCAGATTTACCCTGTTCCAGAGTGATGGGCGCATCAGGGTAAGAAGAGAGGCAGGTGAAGTGATGCACCATCATGCCTAGTGTCTACTGTACAAGCCTTTGGGGGCAGGGTTATGATCTGGGGGTGCTGCAGGTTGTTAGGTCTGGGTTGATGGCACGGGCATATTCCAAGATGACAATGCCAGGATTCATCGGGCTCAAATTGTGAAAGACTGGTTCAGGGAGCATGAGACATCATTTTCACACATGGATTGGCCACCACAGAGTCCAGACCTTAACCCCATTGAGAATCTTTGAGATGTGCTGGAGAAGGCTTTGCGCAGCGGTCAGACTCTACCATCATCAATGCAAGATCTTGGTGAAAAATTAATGCAACACTGGATGGAAATAAATCTTGTGACATTGCAGAAGCTTATCGAAACAATGCCACAGCGAATGCGTGCTGCAATCAAAGCTAAAGGTGGTCCAACGAAATGTGTATGACCCTTTTTTTTGGTGGCGACTTTTATTTTTGGCCAGGCAGTGTATATACATATATAGTATACATACATATATATACACATATATTTATTCAATTCAAAATGCATTATTATTCTGAATCCACAACACACATATATACATATGTACATAGACACACACATGTATGCATACAAACATATATATTTATATATATATGTATATACTGTATATATACACTGCACCTCTAGGTACTTAGATAGATCATATAAAATGTTTTCTTTAATTATTATTAATATTTTAGTATATATTTATTTTCTTATCTCCTCTCTGTCACACCTTTCCTCTGACAGGAGTCGGAGCGACTAGAGATGTTAAATTCTGACCTTAAAGCACAGATTGAGGAGCTGAAACTGGAGCGGCAGCAACTCCACCATCGCCCCACATGTAGTGTCAGGACAGATAGTGTGAAAACACCGGAGAGTGAGGTGAACCCACTGCTGCAGCAGCTGCAGGACAAATGAAGGAAGGAGAAGGAGAAGGAGAAGGAGAACCAACTAGCAGCACTTAGCTTTGGATGGTGGAGAGAATAAAGGAGAACTCCAAACACCTCTGTCCCTGGGACACAGACCATCACAGCACAAAGTCTGGATCCAGAACTACGGACCATGATGAAGTTGAACTACAAGAAAACAACAACACGTTATTTTTTTTTAACGTTTCTTACTGCAGTATCCAGTTCATTGTTTCCTAGCAGACTTTTACGTTGGCCTCAGCCATTAGTTCAAACTGGTAACATCACAGGGTAATAACATTTCACTAGTTTGAATAATTAATATTTACATGTGTTGTGGATAAATATACATAGGCTAAATTACAGCTTTTCGTGTAATTAAGATGCTTTATAGCTATTTGCTTTCATTACAATAGATTATGCAGTTTACACATTCAAAAAAGCAAAAAAGCGCAGGCTTAGGACTTCTAGTGTTTAATTAATTTACTATTTAAATCATGAAAAACATTGGGCTTCTCCATTTATTATACTGGATCTATTATTTCAACTATGAGTGGATCTAGCCTCAAATATGTTTTTCTTTATATTTTATTAAATATTCTGCTTGGTCATTCTATGACACATACAGCAAGCACATCGATATTTAACCGGACAAAGTTTTACTAGAGAATTGTCCCATGTTTATATAACATATGTTTGTTTCATTTCAGGCATTAAAGGACACAGCTGACTACACACACCTTTTTATATTCTATATTTTGGCGCAGGCGTCATGTATGCACATATATATGGACTGTTTACATTGTACTTTATTTTCTGCTTTACTGTTACCACGGACATGTTTTATGTTTTTCTACTTTTGTATGTGATATTATAAAAAACAGTATGAATATAAGCTATTAAAAAACAGTTTGTACTTTTCTAAGTAATAAATCTTTAGTTTCTTTATGCCCTTGCATTTCGTTATTCTCTCAAACTGACAAGCGTTCTTGATGAAAACATATTGTTAAGGATGCCATCTAGTGGCCAAAAGGGACACAACGTGGTCTTCAGCCGGCATTTGTGAGGGAACAGGGATGAAAAGAAACGGAACAACAGTAATTAAATGAATAGCAAATTTGGAAAACATTGAGCTGAGTTTGACATTTGTATTTTTAGACTAAATAAATAAACAACTAATAATTGAATGCAAATCACCAGCAGAGATGAATAGAGGAAAGGTGAGTTTGAGACGGTTTGGACATAAGATGAGAAATGTCTGATTTAATTTACAAAAACAAAACTATATAATATATATATAACAAAATGTTGGCGATCTAGTTGGGGAAAAGGAGCCGTAGGGATGTGTGGCTGTAAACAAAGAGGACATAGATATGGTTGGTGTAACAGTAGAAGAGGCAAGGGATGAGCTGAAATGGTCCGCAGTCACGACCCCTGAAGAATGCACCTAAAAGGGGAGAAGAATCCACCTATAATGTCATCATAATAGTCCACTGACATGAGCGTGTACTCTGTGTTACGTCAGTCCCGAAGAGCCATTCACACCCAGGTAGGGGTGGAGTTCATAATCACGGCTCAGTGGCTCTGATTGGCCTCCTGACCAGACCTTATACACAGCTGTACTTAACTTCGTCAACATTCCGAGTCCTGAGTTAACGCATTGTGTCGTCTAACCTTTGACAAGTGAAGGTGAATTGTTAAACAGCACAACTCCTCAGACTGTTTATTCACTTAGCCGTATAAGATATAGAGGAAAACACCCCACAGGACACCAAGAAAACCGTTCCCCAGGTGAAGGAGAAAGGACCAGCTGCCCGGCTCCAGATGGAACCCTCCAGCATCCACAGGAGTGACGGCGACTCCGCTGCACCCACGCGTCTGTACAAGAGACGGTGGGTGATCCTGTTACTGTTCACCTTATACTCCATGAGCAACGCGTACCAATGGATCCAGTACGGGATCATCAGCAACATCTTCATGAGTTTCTACAAGGTGGACGCCTTATCTATAGACTTTCTGTCCATAGTCTACATGATCGCCTACATCCCCTTAATATTCCCGGTCACTTGGCTGCTGCACAAGAAGGGACTGCGCCTCACGGCGCTGCTGGCCAATGTGCTGAACTGCGCCGGGGCTTGGATCAAGGTGCCCAGTGCCAGACCGGACCTGTTCTGGGTGACCGTTGTCGGGCAGGTTGCAAGTTCACTGTCTCAGGTCTTCATCCTTGGGATTCCCTCCCGGATGGCGTCGGTCTGGTTCAGTGACAGAGAGGTTTCCACCGCCTGCTCCATCGGGGTTTTTGGGAACCAAGTAAGTAGGACAGTAGTTCTTTAAATATGCTGAAGTACTTTTTACTCTGTTAATAAAATATATATATAAATATATTATTATTATTATTATTATTACGGGCATAGGAGTTAAGGAAGCAGACTTGGATCCGAAAGGTTTCAGGTTCGATTCCACCAGCTGCCAGGTTCCCACTGAAGTGCTCCGAGCATGGCTTCGTCCCCACACACTGATCCCTGGGCGCTTAAAGCTGCCCACTGTTCACTTTGGTGATGGCTTAAAAGCAGAGGTCACATTTGGTTGTGTTTGCAGTGGTGTGCTGTGTCACGACAAATAATTCACTTTCACTTTTTTTTAAATAATAATAATAATTTTAATTTTAAGAGATTCAAAAAGAAGTTTCACATTTGGTGTAAGCAAAAAAACAAAAAAACCAAAAGAAACAACAAAAAACAAAAAAACAAACAAAAAAAAACTACTACTGTTACCTTTCTGGAGTAAGTTGCTCTGACCCTTGCTACTACTATCAGTATGATTTTCTTTTTATTATTATTATCGTATTACTTGCATAGTCCAGAAATGATAAGGTAAAAAAAAAAGTGGTGTTCAGACATTGGTTGAAGATAAGTCTGGTACTGATGCTGCAGTCCGGTAGCAGAGACAATCAAATAGTTTAAAAATCTTTAATTGGTTGAGTTTAGGTGAAAATGGAGGTCACATCGTAGAACGTAGAACTACAAAACAAGAGCATTGTCAGTGTAGTAAAATACCAGAAGTAATTCTCCATTTTTGTTGCTTTTATGTGTGTCAATGATGAGTACTACAGCTAAATAAATAGACAGGTAAAGAAGGACACATTAACTGGACAGGTAAAGCAGGTTCCAAGCCCCACATCGGCTACTGGTTACAAAAGACTAAAGACCACATTAATAACAGCCTGGGTTTTTAATAATAATTTATATTTATATCGATAATTTCGAATAATTATACAAACTCCTAACTGAATAAGTAATTCGTGACTTTCCGGCGTATAACGTAGTTGTGGTGGTGAGCGGAAATGACGTCAATGTAGTCCAAATATTGAAGTGCAAAATAAGAGGTGCCAACACAGCTTTGTTGGCAGCTGGGTCCTGTTGCAGGTATTGTACGCTGTCATTTTCCTTATATATTTTCCACGTTTTACCTCGTAAGTCAATATTTCTACATTGTTTCTCGGTCTAGCTTGATTTCGGAGAAGCCTTTTCGACTCTGGTGACGCTTGTCGTCGACTAATTCCATTAGTATGTTTTACATGGGGCACAGTAAGAGGTCGGTTTGTCTCAAAACTGTTGTACCACTTTTATTTTATTTCACTTTTTTTCACGCCCAGAACAAGCTAGCTTACCTACTGTGTCCGAACACCTTGTTACAGTAGATACGTTATAAAAGTGTTTAAAAAAAGTTTCGCAGTATTCGTGTAAAACTCAAGGCCCAGCGCCAAGTCATTTTTTATATAAATTGAACGTTTTTTATTACACAGCAATAAAAAAATACTTAATAAATAATATTCAATTGCAGTAACATTTATTAACACATTATGGAGTAGTTACATCTATACAGTGTCCCATTTACAACCAGCCCTCCGTGGGGAACCGTATTGATGATGTGCCCCCCCTCCCCAATGAACATGATTTTGATATTCCATTTTTTTTCCGTTTTAGAATTGTAAGATAGTATTATTATAGTACATAGTATATTATTGGTAATATTTTCCATTATTTCTCTATATTGTGATGATTTACTTTTCACGGTATTATTGCTAATGACCTGCATGTATTTTAGTAGTATCGTGCACAAAAAAATTAGATTGCAAGATTTTTTCACGAGGTCACACATAATCTATACTTTGTATCTAATATTGAGCCCCCCCTGGACATGTCAGGTGTCTGTCTGTTGCCATGCATTTCTAGTACATTCTAAAATGCATTATTAGCATCTGATCATTAAAAACACGGGAGGGAGAAACCTGTGAGACCAGTCAGGTGAGAAGTCAGGGTAAAGAAAGAACACACAAAAAGCAACGGTTTTGGTCTTGTCTTCCAGCTGTTAACTTAAGCAGAAAAATAAGGAATAAATGGAGAGTTTTAGTCAGAAGAGGAGTTCTCTGAATGAAGTCATAGACCATGATTGGTCCTCCAACCACCTGGGAAGACACTTCCAACTGCCTTTCAGTATGAGCCGTGACACTGTGGAATATTCTAGACTGGACTCAACAGAGCACCAACCTGTAATGGAGACCAAGTTGTACAAACGACGCTGGGTCATGCTACTTATCTTTAGCGCCTACTCCATGAGCAATGCCTTCATGTGGCTACAGTACGGCGTCATCAACAACATCTTCATGCACTTTTACAACGTCGATTCAGAGGCCATCAATTTGCTCTCCATGGTCTACTTTTTCTCCTACATACCTCTGATTCTCCCTGTCATCTGGATGCTGGACAAGCGTGGTCTCAGGGACATTTTGGTGGTGGGGGCCGCCTTTAACTGCATCGGGGCATGGATCAAGACCAGCACGGCGGACCCCCAAATGTTTGTCGTGACCTTGTTTGGCCAGTTCGTGTGCTCCGTGGCCACGGTTTTTGTCCTGGGCATCCCATCCCGACTGGCGTCACTGTGGTTTGGGCAGCACGAGGTGTCCACCGTGTTCGGATCTTTTTAAAATTTTGCCCTCCGAAAAGGCTTGTCTGACTAACAAGTATTTTACTAAGTGTGTTTTTTTTAGCTGTGCTCTGATGGTGTGTATTGAAGTTGTAAAAAAATTGTGGGGAAAAAAACTCATAAAAACATTTGCAACGTCAGATACAATCAGTAAAACCTTTGCCTGACTGAGCCTTTTCTTTTATTGGCTGTGCTGCTGGACATGTGATCTGAAAGAGTACACTGAAAGACTTAAAGTTTAAAAGTCAAGGTAAATTAATATGTATCTCCAACTGTTAAATATTAAATGTTTATTTATTATTCAATTAACATAGATTAATTAAAAATAATTTAATGATCAAATTCCAAAATTTGACATGTGCGTTCTGTAAACCAGGGGCGTCCACACTTTTTTTGGCATAGGAGCTACTCTTCAAATGACCCTGATAAAGTAATCTACCTTCATTGAAAACATAAATATATATTTACTTATACGAACTGAACATACTTTATTTATACTTTATATGTTGGGTTGCTGATTACTTCATGTGACCGTGTGGCTCAATATGGTTTAATTCTTACGGTATATGGCACTACTACACACTCAAGAATGATATAATTTTTTTTTTTTTTAATTACTCGTGATCTATTGGGACTTTTTTGTGATCTACTGCTAGATCCCCATCTGCTATTTGGGCACCCCTGCTGTAAGTATATATGTGTGCTATTTTGGCACCCCTGCTGTAAGTATATATGTGTTCAAATTTATTAAGTTTGTAATTGGCTAAAAAATGGCAGGCTGTGGCTTAGTGATACGAGGATTGGCCATTTTATCAAAGGATGGCAGGTTTGAATCCTGCCATGGCTGGATGTTCTGTGTTGTTCAAGTGCTTTCTACCTTCTCTTCTCAGTGTTTTGTACACCTTCTGCACATTGGAATTTGTTGTCACCACAGTCTAAACAGGGACAATAGAAGGATATCTGACCACTAGAATGCTCTTAAACCTCTGAAGTTTTTCCACCATTTGAAGTGTGTCCTCTGTCACCTGCTGGAGGACAAACACCGCACACCGGCTATTGTCGCGTAAGCTCTTGCTGTGTGCGTTCGCCCAGTTCCCTGATGCTCCAGAGAAAGATGCATTGTTGTTCATGTTTTCTTGCTCACCAAGACTTTGGTACTTTGGCCCTGGTCTCCGTTTCCGTCATTTCCAAATTTTGAAGGATGAAGTAGTTCATGTTTGTTCAGGAGTAGTTCAAACCAACACTGGTCAGTAGGATTTCTAAGACCTGCAATCCTTTGAACATCAAAAAGATCGACAGTTCATTGTGCTAAATTTACCCTGACATTAGTGGCCATTGTGAAAATTGTTAGTTTACTCATGACAAACTCTATATATGTATGCTACGAAGAGGAGCCGGTGCTCTGAAAATATATTTGGGTAGTCAGTAACTATTGTTTTTTTTAAACTGACTTCTGTTGTTTGTTCCTAGAAGCTGTGTCACTTTCTTGGCTTTCCTTACAATCAAGGGACCAGTACTGTTGTTGTGGCTGTAGTAACTAAGGATGAGGGTCCCACAGATGTAGCAATAATATGTGGAATGTTCAGTCATTTATTAACTTTGTGAGTGTGGTGGTGTTAGCAAACGCAAAAGTAGGCTAACAAGTTTGTAAATGATCTAAACCGTACTTTAGAAGTGGACATGAATGTCCTTCGCTCTCTGTAAATCCATTAAAAAAACCAAACTGTTTTGAACATGATGTCAGTTTTGAAAACTGCCATTATTTTTTTTTTTTATGACTGTAAAGTTTGATGGGGCCAAAAATACTCTACTACTAAATAAGCCATCAGATTATAATGACCTTTCATTGGCTGCCAAAACACTGTGTATTCTGACCTTTCTGGACGTGAACCAGTATTTTCTTTTTCTTTGGTAATTTGACCTACAGTGTAGATGACGTTTGATAAATGTGGACTACTGTAGAACAGAAACATCCCATAAAAGCTGCAGTTTTGGAAATGCCCTGACTTAGTCCTGTATGACATTGTTTCCCAAAGACTGGGTCGCAACCCTCAGGTGGGTCACACGATATATTTTTTGGGTCATCTCACATCATGTTTTCCAGGAGTTTATGAATAATGTCTGTTGACTTGGGTCGTGAAGGTTTGTGACTGGGTCCCCAGAAAAAAAGGTTTGGGAAACACTGCAGTACGACTAGTCTCGTATTCTCTGGATCTCCATAACTGATGAACTGACCTGTCAACAGATGTTTGGTTTAACCATTTACCATCTGCTTGTGTGTGAGTTTGTGTGTAGGTCTTGAGTATTTTTTATTTATTGACTGACTCTCCTTTGCAGTTGGGCATTGCCATTGGGTTCCTGGTCCCGCCCATTCTCGTGCCCAATGTGGAGGACGTAGATGAGCTGGCGCACCACATCAGGGTCATGTTCTACATCAGCGCTGGAGTGGCCACCATTATCTTCATCCTCGTGGTCATCTGTAAGTCTCTGAGGGGAGTTAGCTTTTCTCCCCCTCTGTCCTGGAGCTCTTTACTCACTCATGCAGCAGTAACCCACTGTGATCGTCTAGCATGTTTGTTTTTTTAGTGAGCGACCCGATAACGGTGGTGTTACATCATCTTCTTGGTCCATGATGGTTATGCCAAAGATCTGACCACATCGAAGTCATATAGACCTATAAAATATCTCTACAAAAGCTCTTTTTAAAATGTTAGTTCCATTATAATTAGTTATTTATTTTCTTCTACAGTAGGATCTGATGTTTGACTGTTAAGCTTCTCACAAAGTCTGCATCCGACCCACTGCTCAATGGCTCTGCAGGCCACGAGATGAGCAGCTCAAACAATTGCGGAAATTGTCCAGGCGTTGACGTGATGTGTTTGGACACGATGTGAAATACATGAAAACCCAGGGAGTCAGGAGAGTTTTGGGAAATGGTCATTTACGGTGCACGTCAGCTCCTTAAAGTTTTACTTTTATCGCCCTTAAGGACGGTAGCTGGCTAACAGGGACAAGTTTATTGTCTTGAGTCTGAGATTTAGTGAAGACTCAGTATGCACAGAGAGAATAAAACCAGTCTAATTTGGATTTGAAGAAGTCATATTCGCGGTTCCCAAAGTGGGGGGCAGGTCCTCCCTTTGGGACAAAAAGTTATTACTTAGGGGCACATTATGGCAAATTAAATTCGATATCAGTAATGTTTTTTATTTGTGCCACAGTAGTATATTTTCACAGTTTTTAAATTGTTTTCTTGTGTTCAGGTTGAAGAATTAAAATTTATTTTTTATTTTTTGTTCCTATACTTTCATGTAAACAAGGTCTCTAAGCCCTAAATTTCAGAAAGAGGGATTTTTTTCTGGTCATGACTTTGACTGATTCTTAGACTAAAAATGTAGCACAATGTTTTCATTTCTGTAAAAGTTTTAATTATAAGGGCTATTATTTAATTATCTTTGAATAAACGTCAGCCCACGATCTAATGGACATGTTTCTACTGGTCATGTTAAACACCAGCTGAGTTTTCTGAATAGACATTACTGTAACCTCATTATGCGTCTGCCTGTGTCTCAGTGTTCCAGGAGAGACCAGAGCTTCCTCCCTCTCAGGCCCAGGCTCATGCCAGGAACATACATGAAGCGGAATATTCGTACTCCGCCTCTATTTTGAGGCTGCTCCGCAACAAGGCCTTCATGCTACTGATGGTCAGCTACGGTGGGTCCTTTTTTTAAATTTTAAAAATATTTATATATGTATAATGTATATTATATACTTTTTAGAATTTTATTTTTTAAATTATTATTTGTTGTAATTATTTAAAACATCACACATTGTGTCAATTCATATTGATGATGACGATGTTTGGCATGTTGGGAAGTGGGTTAAATAAGGCCAGATTTATTAATAGTATGTTAGAGACTCCATATACAACTTTTATTTCATGTTTAAAAAAAAAAAGTATTTTAAACTCTTTTAATTTTTTTTTAACACAGGCCTGAGCACTGGTGCTTTCTATGCTGTGTCCACTCTGTTGAACCAGATGATCATCGAGCACTATCCAGTAAGTTCTACAACTTTTTTAAAGCAACATAAGCAGAACATTTTTGTCTTTGTTCACTCCTCCACTGCCATGACCTCTGCGACCCTGACGGAGACCACAGGAGTCCGTATTGTTAGGATTGTGTGTTTTTACGAAAGTTTTTTCTTTAAAACAAAAAATGTAACCATTGATGTTTTTGATCTCAGGGTGAAGAGGTGAATGTTGGGAGAATTGGCCTGAGTATCATCATCGCTGGTATGGTGGGCACCCTCATCTGTGGCATTTGGCTGGACAAGACCAAAACCTTCAAGTGAGAGAAAAGGAAAACAAAAACTATCATCTTGTAAACATTTGTCTGCCGTCTTCAAAGGACAAAAACAAGTATAAAGGCACAAATTTAGATTGAAGTTATTTTATATTACAATCTATTAACAAAAAAAATCCCCTCATTTGTTTTCGTCGGTTTCTCACAACAAACCTAACAACTTTTTTTTTTAATGATAACTTAAGGTTTAAGGTTTTTTTTTCTCCTTTATACTTGGCGGAAAACTGCACCACTAGATGTTGCTAAAGCCTTCACTTTGTACCTTAAACTCATCTAATTAAAAATAAATCTGATAGAACCAGCAGTTCTTCGTGGCCGTTACGTGTACGATCCCCAAGTGTCGCACTTTTATCACCATGTGGACACGTAATGACCTTCACGTATCTCCTGACCGCTGTGGTATCGTTCATCAGATTAGTGCACCTGGCTTACAGTAATTGTGAGAGTTACCATTAGGGAGTCATCACTAAATATAATTTAGATTCCATGAGGCTTTTTCTGCTTTGATTTATTTTTTGAATAAATTAAACCTGTTCACAAGTGACAAGTCTCATTGTCATACGCACAGAAGCATTTGTCGTTCACTCAAGGCACACCACGTGTTCCAAACCAATATCCATCAGAAACAAAGATCCCTGACATGACCCTTGGAAGTG